CCTTGCAGGGTTTTTGTGTACATTAGTTGAACGAAGATAGCTTGAAGGTTTACTTAGAAGGTATGTTTTTCCCAAGTTAAACGTTATGTAGAACCTCCTTGCTGTAGGCGTATCTGTTTTCATTTCACTATCACCACACACACATAAGTGTGGCCATTGTCAGTGTATTGCTCTCCTCTGCAGTGCTGGTGTTGGTAGGACAGGGACATTCATCACCATAGACCATGTCCTGGAGCAGAGGGAGACAGAGGGAGTGGTGGACATCCCTGGAGTCATCCTCAAACTCAGACAACAGAGAACTAAGATGGTCCAGACTCTGGTACACGCACACATTGCACTGTTTTCATTAGTACCTGCACCTCCCCAACTTTGTTTGTGCACACTTTTTGTAGGCTATTCTTTCACTTTTCGTATACAGTTATTCCCACTGTGAAGCTTTTGGCATGCAGCAATGTTTGTCATTTTTACATCTCTCCCAGTGTGTTTATGCATTCTTTTTGTGGGTTATTGTTTCACCTTGACATGCAGTTATGCCCGCAAGTTCACTGTATACTTTCATTCTGATAACTGGCCACACTTGATGTTGTTTCTTCCAGGACCAGTACATCTTCATCCATGATGCCATACTGGAGTCAGTCACATGTGGAGACACTGAGATCAAAGCTGCGGATTTGAGGAGGAAACTGGTCAAACTCAAGAGAAAGGATGATTCTGGACTTTCTGGACTTGACCTTCAGTTTGCCGTAAGAGGGCTTTTGGCTCTTTAACAACCCACTCATACCTATAATGTACACCATGTACAATAACACAGATACTGGACCAAGTGAGCGGAAATGTAGGAGATGCACAGTCCGTTGCTGCCCGAAACAACCCCACCAAGAATAGATCTACTGATTTTCCTGCCAGGTTCTCCCCCCACATCTTTTTAATTTTTATATCCATCGTGTGCCTGTCTTCCTTTCTAAAACATACAGTGGACAAATGGAGAGTTGTTTTGAAAGGAGAAAATCCAGACTACATACATGCCACCAATATCCGCGTAAGCACCCAACACCCAAGTGTTTGTCTATGGAGCCACAAGGGTGTTTCCTCCCTATGTAGGGCTACAAGCAGCAGAGAGCGTTCATCATCACACAGGGACCGATGCGCTCCACTGCCAGAGACTTCTGGAAGATGGTCTACAGCAGGAAGTGTAGTGTGGTCGTCATGCTATCAGACCTCATTGAACAGGATGAGGTGACGCATTGTGATATGTCTGTAATAGACTAGATTTGATTGTACTAAGCACTTGCTTGCACAAGAGATTTGATTGTACTAAGCTCGTAAACTTCTTCTTGTGAAGTGAAAGATGAAAGATCAAAGATCAAACCACAATCCACTGAATCTGCCCCACTTAATGGTGTACTGTAAACTCTAGGTTTAGCTCGTTTCATTAAGAGGTGATGTAATAGTTTGTGTTATTCTAGGAGGTGTGCTACCAGTACTGGCCTGGGAAGAGAGCACAGACATATGGGGAGTTCAGAGTAGAGCTGCTCAGTGAGGGGTGGAAGAGTGGATTCTTATTCAGAAACTTCTCTGTCCAGCAGGCCAAGGTTAGCAAAATAAGATGAAGGGGAGTTGAGTTCGTAGCTCTCTACACTGTACAATATACCATGCAGTTATTGATTTGAACTTGCAGTTTGCCACAGCCCATCAGGTGTGGCAGTTCCACATCCCAGAGTGGAGCTCAGACTACCAGTGGCGTGGGGATGTGAATGCCATGGTCTCTGTCATAGAGGAAGTCTCCAAGGTCCAGATGAAGACTGGGAACCACCCTATTGTCGTCCATGGAACAGTGCACAAGTAGAGGACCTCTCTGGGCCTTGTGATCTCTGAGGACAACCTTATGGAAGTTGAGCATGGAGGTGGCATAGTCAGGTACTCCGTGGTCTGGCCAGGCTGTGTAGTGGAAATGAGTCACCTTCCTCGTCTTCCCTGAGAGCTAGGGGGAGGATCATCGGCATTAATCCTAATCCATTCATAGAAATTTCAATGTGACCTCCATATGAAGGGAATGCTCCCTTCATAGGTCAACTTTTGTGTGCAACATGTTTTTCCACGGTTCTTTAATCAATGCTTTATGAACTACACAGCCAGTAAGCTTTCTCAGTTAATAAACCAATTTTACAGGACTAGTGATGTGTAGCTAGCTACATCTTCAAAGAAACGTTTTCTCTACCTCAACACTGAGTGTTCTGATGGTGTAGTCAGCGAGAATGAGTTGGTGAGTGATGGATACGTGGAACGGCCCGAAATCCTGAGACCCAGAGGACGGCCAGTACTGCTCACACTTTGTCTTCTTCCCCTCCACCAGGTTGGTGATCATCACCACTGACGGCACTTTCTCCTGCCACACCATCCTCCAGAAGTCTACTATACTACTGGGGACTGGCCCTGGGCATAAGTATACATCATGTTGCTAGTAAGTATTTTCACCACATATACACTTTTCAATGTTTTACCTTGCGCTGCGATAAACTTCCTTGGTTTGGAGTAGCCCTGAGCGTGGGATTAGATAAGAGTCGTATGTAGACACAGTATATATGGTTTGTGCCATCCCCACTACAAGCATTGACTTACGTCCACATGACTTGCATTGATGTACTCATTAGTGAGGTCACCCAGTGGGCTCAGGATCACACGATTATCATCATCTGCCCATTATAAAATGCAGAGCAATCTTGTTGTTGTTGAGCTTCAATACTTACATGGTGAAATGTTGGCAAAACGGTTCTTTTTCTGTTTCGTG